CGGATAATTACTTTTTTGATATATGTATGTACATACGAGTATTTATGACAAGTTGAGATGGAGAGTAATTGAAGCCCGGTAATGGTCTCGGGGAGCTTCTTATTCAGATAATTTATTTGTTTAACTTCGTAGAGAAGAGTTCTACGAAGCGGAGTGTATATTAAAGAGCAACCAGTTCCCTCAGATTATGGATTTTATCTTCTTCTGAATGCTAAACCACTTCCTGAACAGATGTTCCACAGAACATGTTCCTGGAAATGTTACAGAACATCAGATTAGCAAAGACAATAATCGCAATTCCCATTCCCATAATTCCAATAATAAGCAAAATCGCACGTACCGCCATTATCTCATTTTTCAAAGCAAAAATAATATAAAACCAACAGAAATGTAATAAATTATAACACCCACATGGGCACGGGTACGAGCACGGGCAACGGCAATCAACGAGGGGGAGGGTCAAAGACGGGGGGCCTGGAAATGCAATTACACAATTAGCAAGCAGACAAGAAGAGCAAGTGAGACAAACAGAAAAACGGAGAGCGAGTGGGAAGTTGAGGAATACATACATTATTTGCAATAATGAAAATAATTAGAAATTCAAATTCAATAAACGCGAAAACGGCAAAACAATAAATAACAAGAAAGGAAGCTTTAAATGTCGAAGATTTAGATACGATTTTCCAGTTCCACTCGATCCAATGGAAGGCATACGATCGGATATTGATTGATCAGAACGATATATGCAAGTATATATGTATGAATGTACATATGTATCGATGTACGTACAGGGAGGACTGTTGTCCACCTGTTGATGGTTTGTACATCCTTCTACGGGGACAGCGAAAATATCTTCTCATAATCATAATACCCCACCTCAGCAAGGGTATCAAAAGCTAAAGCAAAAAAAAAAAAACTCGACGGTAAATAGAAATACAAAAACTTATAAATAATCAAACAGAATTTTTATATATTTGCATAGATTAAAGCCTAGAAGACACGATTGTGCATGTCTGTATGTACATATGTATGAGTACACTATGAGCAAAAAGAAGAAAGAAGCAACAGCAGCTGCGAACAAACACGAGGGGGAGGGCGGGAGAAAAAGTAAATCGAATCAAAGAAACAGCTGTAAGCTCGTGCAAACTTCTAACACAGAAGTTTCTACTCTCTACTCTCTTCTCTCTCTCAATTCGCTGTGGGGCGGGTGGGGTTTGGTTGTTGAGCAAACTTTTAAGCTGCGAAAAACAAAAATGGCAGCCCTGTACTTATTTTATTTTTTACACCCAGGGTATATCCGATTCGGGTATATAAGTAAAGCAGGCAGTAGGAAACTGTAGGAGATTGCCTCGACATAAATCAAATGAAAAATAAAACTCCTGAGGTAGTTTCAAGTGTATCATCCAACTCGAGTAAATATAGGTGATAAATGTATTCAATATGTGTGTACATAGTGGGTATTCCGTAGTCGCAAGATCGACTACAAATATTTGTGTTTCTTGTTTTTGTTGTTGTTATTCTTTTGGCTTAAAACCAGTTTTCAGCTGCTCCACGCATTTCGGCAACAACAACAACAACAGCATGCCGAACATTAAACCGAAAAAAAGCCACTAAATAGACAGCAGTTTTGAGGTTACAAATTCTGCTGTTGTTGCAGCAATAAAACAAAACAAAAAAGCAAAACAAAAACTAAACTTAAAGAGCTCTCCAAAAACAGCCAAAGTCTCCTCTCCTCTCAAGCGAGCTCTTATCGGCGAACCACACAAAAAATTAACAAATATGGCTGACAGAGCGACTCCCGGACGACTCTGAATGATTCTGTCTCGTCTGTCACGTCATTCGATTTTCTTACTTTTGCTACTATCTGTTCTACCTGTTACCTGTTGACTTGGCCATTTTATTAGCGACTTGCACTTGTCACACTGACTGAGTTTTCTCAACTCGGCGGCGTCGTCGACGACTGCTCTGAAAACTTTACGATGTGTCAGGTCTTTTAAGTCGTTTTATTTTTTGTTCGAGCTTACTTCCATTTAAATGAAAAACAAAATGAAACCAAAGGGTAAACAATAGCAATGAAAAATAAAGTGAAATCTTAGAGAACATTCACTAATATTATATGACTACAGTAGGGATTCGCACTGCTTAAATTTTTGGACGATCGCTTATGGTTTTTATGACCCACAACTGACCTTAGCGGAACCCACATACAAAACTGCTAAATAAAGATAAAAAGAAACCAATAACAGATTTATATATGTATGTATATATGTATCATTGAATAGCTACATGCAAATGTGCAAAGTTATGTTAATAGGCCGGCGCACACGCTTCAGACTTCGATATCAGACCCAGACTGATTCGGATCGGGGGCGGCTACAATGTTATACGAAAGTATAAAGTACATATCGTTCTTCTATAACTTTGTAAACATTTTTATATTCTTCTGGCTTCTGTAAATGAATCCAACAATGTAAGAAAATGATCATTCATTGAACCAGGAAGGGCTATAAACTTGGGGTAACTTTGATGATTGCAATAGTTCCATTAAAACAGATTTAACAGCTGATAACTTACTAAATTCCCTTGTTAATGTGCTTCAATCATTAAAATGTACTTCTTTTTATGAGAACTTATTGTGGTTATATTTAATCTTTTAGCACACTGTAACAACTCGGCACTGCAATTTTTTCATCTGAATAATGACCCTAGGGTAGAAACGATTCAGAGGCAAGTCAAACGATCAGTCGAGGATCGAGTAGGAGCTTACATTATGGCAGGTCATGTGTCAGTCTGTCGGCGGTGGGTAGAACAACATTTATTATTATTATTATTTATTAATTCAGCGAGCTGTTTGGTGAGCAATTGAAACTCAGTTCTGGAATCGATTCACACCAGCAAAGATAACTTTAATTTGAAATTAGGTAAGACGTTAAATCGGATATTTGATAGCTCTGGGATCGCTTTGCTTTGGTTCGGTTCGGTCTTGGCTATGTTGTTCTTTTTCGATTAGATAAGCAAATTTATAATGTCTACGGGAGCGAGGGTATCAAATGTAAATTCTGTCTGACAGAGATAATATTGTCGATTGCCATTCTGCCCAGCTGCTGCTTTGTTTTTCCACCTCGAATGTGTGCCCGTATGCGTGGAAGTTTGCGATCGCCAAATGCGTCTGCCAATCAATCAATGAAAGGTTTTTACTGAAGTCTCGTTTTGAATACATAAAAAAAATAATAGAAACGCCAACGCTAAGAGTCAAAAGAGTAGAATGAAATGTCTTTCAAATGTAAGCTAATCTAATGATTATACATAGCTGCTACAGAATCCGGGTTCGGTTTGATATTACAATAAATTATGATCGGAAATACACATGTAGTTTATGGGCGTGAAAACCTGTTCAATAGGTGAAGCCAACAAAAATACACACAAAGACCTTTTTGGCCCCCGGTAATCTTGTACTTGAAAATATTCCCAAGAACACAATCAATAATCACTGGCAATGCGCTTAGGTCAGAGGTTCGAATGACCAAAATATGTACACGGTTCCTAGGAATTGTTGTACTCTACGATTAATACAAAGTTCTAGGGAGTCCCCTGTGAAAATGCCAAAATTTCAGCGCAATTATCCCAGAAAAACGCCACATCATCCCCACCGGGAGATTTTAAGCTTAAATAAAAAAAATTGTATTTAAATTGAAATTCCATGAAAATTCATTAGTTTCAATGATTCAGAAACAACAAAACAAAACAACGACAAAACCGGCAATCATCCAAACATTTATTTTTACACACATTTAATTATAGCCTTTATAGGAGGCAGGCAGCGCCAAACAATTGATTAACAAATTAAATATAGAAACCCAGCAGCACAGAGAAGGGGCAAGCGGGATCAAGTGGGGTGCTGGCTTTTCTCGGGTGAGTTCAAGTGAATTTATTGCACTTTGGCAGCAGCTCTGAGACAGCGCATGCCGCGCAGCGATACAGATGGAACGTTGAGCGGAGTGCATGAGCACGCGTAAAAAAGCAATTCAATGTCAACAAGAAAGGAAGGCCAGCTTGGTTGACTGACGCTATTGATACCCTATAGATCTTATTGTCAATCGATGCTCCTACTGCATGAACTTGTTTCATTCATTCAGCAAGTATTTCTGATTAGCAAGTTGTTCTACATATGTTCACAGTCTGTTCAAACTCATCATACCATACCCTCAGAAAGGGTACCACAAAAATCAATGGCTTTCGGTTTATAGAAATTAAACAATTCTTAGAGCCACTGAAAATCACAAGTGAATACTTGTTAATGTTCAAACTGAACAACAAAGTACCCTCTGCAGTTTATTGTTTGTATAATTTCGCTGGCTCATCAACGTTTCGTACAAAATCCAAAGCGCGCCAACGATTTTAAGCTGGCAATGCCGTCCACTCCGAGAGAGATAGAGAGAGAGAGAGAGAGCGTGGCACTGAGAGAGAGTACGATTTGTTTGGATACAACTTAAAAGTTGTGTTTCTGTTTTATGTTTGCTTCACAGGCAGCTGTTAACAGAAATTAATTAACGGCCTGGAATGAGGGTCTGATGCACAGAAAGCCAAAGCAGAGAAAAATCTTCCACAGAGAAGCAGCCAAGGTATATTTAGCAGGTGGTATGGCTATCCGTATAGTGTACAGTGTGAGCCGCACTCTCTGCTTACCGTCCTGCTTCATATACCATGGCAGCAACGTGCTAAACGCTGACACAACACAGCTGACTCGCCTCTCTCTCGCGCACCAACACAGCTGGAAATGTACTGGCAGCGGCCATTGAGAAAACAAAACCAAATAACACAAAAAACGAAATAAAAAGATACAAATTTCGCAATGCCTCGAGATTTTGCTGCGCTACCGTCTCGTTTTTAACAAAAAATAATAATAATAAGCTACCGATGACGACATTTCGCCCGTTAGCACGATTGCTAAGACTGTTTCTAGAGGAAATGTTTACAAAAAAATACACTGGCACTCTTACCTCTCTTTTTACTTTTGCTGTTGTTGCGCGCAAGAGAAAGATGTGGCAAAGAGAAAGAGAGCTGCCTCTGCCTCTCCAGGTGCTTGCCACCGCACAGACTTGACTTTCACAAAAATAAGCTCGAAAAATGAGCAAAAAATATTTCTTTGCGTTTGCTTTTCACTTTGTATCCGCTGCTGCCTGCTGCTGCACTTTCTCCGCAGAGGAGTCTCACACACAATTTTCACGTGCCCTAAAGGAAAACTGTTTTCTTTTTTATGCTATTTATCTGGTCAGTGCCGTTCCGTTGCTGTTTTGTGGGCCATTGAGCAATTTTGAAGGCACTTATACACTCACACTCACGCACTCCACTCACACAGGTACGCAACGAGACGCACTAGCACTCACGTACTCTTGTGCGCTTCTTTTGTTGCTGCCTGCACCTTTTCGCCTTTTGCTTATATTCTGGCTCTCCTTCACAATTTATTTATTCAGCACAAACCAAACGCAGCCCCATCCGCAGCTGGGGGGTGGACGCGGAGAAAAAAACAAGGCAATTCTCTTGCTGTTTACACGACTTGTGCCAGTGTGACCGCAGATTTGTCGATAAAATATAACGTCTCCCCCTCAGAAATATACCAAAATATACCTTATCATTTTTCAAATATACCGTAAATATACCGAAGAAAATAAAAACACATAGCGCTCTATTTAAACAGGCGATTACCTTGAGCTAAAACGTGGGGAGTACGTTTTGTACTGTTTGTTTGGACACTGTTTGTAAATTCTTCTTATGTATTCATTCCTCCCCCTTTTTTTAATTTCAAATGTGTCGGCAACATACTATTTCTAGCCACATGTGGCGTGGGCTGATCGATATTTACCCGCGATCGATTCGACTACGCTGCGTGCAGTCACACTGCCAGTTGCTTATCGAATTTAAATTTGAAATTCGTAAGTCGCTATATACTACATATGTGACATGTACATATGTAATGTATTAATATTTTCCGACAAACTACAAAAAGCCACTTGCATTCTTTAACATAAAGTAGCAAGTAACAGCCACAAATTAAGTTACATGTGGAAATTGGGCCAAGGTTATATATAATAAACAAAGCAATCGAAACGGAATTAAAAGCTAACAACCGCATTTGCCATGAGTAGAGTTTCCCCAGAAGTTTAATCCAACAAAAAATCCAAAAGCGCTTCACCCAAATCCATGAGTGCACTGACCACAAACTCTGAATGCAATGCTTTGTTGGGATTATCTTCAAAAGTGACTTGTTTCCCGACAGAATTTTGGCATGTACCAATTATGTATATTGTTGGCTGAGCTGACCGGTACCACTAACCATACAATATAGATGTGCCAGTTCATACACCGAACGTGTCGGAGCTGTCACAGGTCCCCAGGTCTTCGGCTGTTGGAGCTGAGACGTTCGGGTCGCGGACCTGAGACGTTCGGCATTTTTTCGACATGTTCGATTCATGACGAGATCCGAAAGCAAGCCGAGAATTGCAAATGTATGTGTGTACACAGGCACGACAAAATATTTATCAATTCTTATATTCCGAAACCGTTCTGAGTTTGTTTTGACCCAGTCGGACTTTATACCTTCCAAGCCAAACGCCACCCAACCGGCCCGCTGGCCACAACAAAACCCCCACCCACAGCATGGGTCGGCGCCAGGTGGCTGGTATATACAATACGTGGGGCACCCCAAGGGCACCACGAATGCCCCTGGACGAAACATATGCCAAATTTGATTATTGTTTTCTGAAGTCAGTGAATCGCAGCTACAAGTACATTTCCATGAGAGCGAAATTGTTGCAGACTCCCATTACCAATGCCAAGGTGATTAGAGTGTCAAAAGTAACCCTATAGATTCTATTCCTATTTATTACACATAGATAAATGCCGCCTTGTATCAGCGTTTCAGTGGTTATAAACCATTCCTTTATAATATCACTGTGGATGGCTGTAAGTTCATGAAGAATCCTCAGGCAAACCCTGTGGCCAATTACTTTTTTGCACTATTCAGTAGCCACATGAATTTGAATCATACGTGTCCCTATGATGTAAGTACTCTAAATCAGATATAGATTCATCAGATAGATTTATTCTCATGTTCTTTTCGGGTTTAGCATGATTTTATTTTGGATAAGCTTCCCATCGATTTTATAAATGATAAATTTACACGTGTTGCCCTTTCCTCTGGGCAGTTACCTAGCCGAATCCCACTGGTATTCCGACAACATCAAACGTGCCGTGGTCAAAGTTTATGGAACTCTTTCGTAAGTTTGGTATTTCCAAATGAATAAAGAGAGTATCTGCCTAATTTAAATTTCAAAATGGTGTCGGTATAATAACCATAATGGTAAATAAATAATAACCAGTATCGGCTGATTTATTTTCAAAGTGTTTTGGGTTTTTAGCGACTAACTCCGCCCCTGTGTCTTGGGCCTCGTGATGATCTGTTACGCCTGAGTAGAGTAGTGGGGCAGAGTGTAGCCCTGATGGCAGACACAGTGCGCAACTGTCCACGGCCGAAGTCCTGGGGACCTGGGACAGAAAACCCAGCTGCGACAGGTTCGGTGTATGAGCTGGCACATCTATATACTGTATGGTTAGTGCCGGTACGGTGTTTTACCTTGAAAACGTTTTAATTTGCAAGCCAAAATTATTCCTTCAGATCGGTTCGAAACAAACCCCATTAAGTACTCATTAAGTTCAGTCAACTAGAACTTTTACTACGCTCGGCCCTTTATCCCCGTAATGGTTATTCAAAGTATTAACAAGCCCAGAAATTTAATTACTCCAAACAAGAAACAAGGAGCAAAGAACAACCAGAAACAGGAGACCAGAAGCAGCACAAAAAATGAAACAAAATTGAGGCATAAATTGGACCCTTTTCATGCTCCTTTTTGGTAAACGAAAGGGAACCACCCAAGCGCATGGAAAGGGTGAGGGTCTGCGGGAAAGGGTTGGGATGGAGAAATCACAGACGCGTCGAAATAATATCTTCATTCAGAGAGGTCCTAACAGTAAAATGCAGCAGTAAAATTGAAGAAATGTCCAATGGAAGTGCGTCGACTATTTGTTTCTGTCAGCTTTTATTTGTTGCCTCGCTCGCGTTGATTACGGGAGGACAACATCACCACTTGCCAGTGAGTTGTGTGGAGTGCGGCCAGAGGATGGGCGGAGAGGGAGGGCGGGAAGAGTTCTCGTGTTCTTGATGATGATGACAACGCCGCAGCAGCAGTGGATGGCAACAGGATGGCGGAGTGAGGCACGAAGAGCGATAATGATGCCACCCCACCACAGCGTCAGTCCCTTTCATTATTCGTGGGGCCAAGTGTTGCCGAGTTTATAATGAGCGACAGGCAGGCAGGCAGGCAGGACTCCTCATTTCAAGCGAAATTCACTAAACAGGATCCACTGCACCCAGCAATTGGAGCAGGAGCGGGATTATGTTTCGATTCAGAAAGAACTTTGCAGCGACAATGACAAGTCCTCGATAAAGTGAAACTTAAAGTCCTCATCCAAAGAGGTTGCACCTGATCAGGGGTTAAGGATAAAAAGAGAGAAAACAACTAAGGGTGAGGGTCCAGCGCTGCTTGGATCCCATCAAACACAACTAATCCCAGGAATTTTCCAAATGATGGACACATCTGATGGACTCACCGTACGCCCCCCCACCCTTCCACAACACCACCAACGTTTCAATTTCTCTGTTGTTTCATTTCAGATTACTGCTCCAGGGCGCACCACACTGACAGAAATGCAGCAGAGTTTGTTTATTCCGATGTTTTTCTACTTTCCAGTGTAATATTTGCCCATTGAATTGGAGCGATCTTTGGGAATTATCTGAGGATAACATCTCTATAGATTAGGATACAGAAGTAAGAGCTTTTCCAGGTCGTGATTTCTGCAAGTGTTTTTCCTGGTAGACTTCACTGCTGGGTCTCTTGTGTTTATCCCTGTAAACGTCGACAAGGCTCTGTGCTGCTCCTCCTGTTGCCTGATTGCAGGCTTTGTGCCGTTGAAAGATGCTTTGACGTTTAGGTGGACATCGCAGCCTGGGTCCAAGCATCTGCTTGGTGGCTCCCTTTTTGTTTATCTTGCAAGCAACTCCAAGCTGCCAATGCCGACTTAGAAAGCAAAGCAAATACCCAGCCAGCTGTACTGCCAAAGGCTTCAGTGCAGCATTAAAAGAAACATCAACTTGACCTGACCACCAGGCGCCACTTCAGCATCCAATGAATCATTCATTCCACTTGCCTGTCCGCGTCCCTCCCTCCATCGTGCTCATCGTTGCTCTCTCTGCCATTCATTGGCAGAATCCAATTATTCCGTGGCTCTTTCTCCATTCAAATTTATAGCCGAGCCTCCGTGGGGCTCTGCCCCGCACCACACCGCATAAATTATGGTTCCAATGCCGCCGACCAAATGGCAATTGTGCATCTAAGCTCGGACTGGGAGCACTGTTTGGCAGTGGTTTATCGTCTAAATAAAGGTAATTCGATATGTGCTGAAAATGAGAGATAACTGCCGAAGCGACTTATAATTATGGCTGAAAGCTGTTTCGGATTATGAGAGATTCGACATGCAAGTTACATGAAACTCTGGTGTAGTGCGAAATAAGTTATATCCGCATTTTAGCTCGTAATAAGTCATGAGTAATTTGCCTATTCATGCATATTTTTCGGGCATTAAAAATTGAAGTTATTAATGAGGAGTCATTAGAGTTTTTAGCTGCCATAAATTGCCATTTGAATGGGCATAATCTATGGCCTAAAGTCGATTTTTAATTATTAAATATAATATTTTAGTGGTGACCTTTCTTCCTTTTTTTTTGTCACAAATCCTTGGCCCAAAGCCAAAGAGAAGGGAAGGGAAGGGAAGGGGGAGGGGTGGAGGATCAATAACATGTTAAAACACGTAACAAAGTCTGGGCTCGTCACGGCGCGACACGTAAAAATACGTCAAAATAGAAAGAAAGGAGGGAAAAAAAAAAACAATAAATCGATTCGCCTTCAGATTCTAAAAAGGGCAAAAAAGAAGGCGGGGTGGTAGCCGGGTGACATTCGGTAGCAGTTGTGGGTCCGGCCTCCAGCCCCACAGGGGAGACGAGTACAAGCACAGCGCCTGCCATGGCAAATAAAGCCAGAAATCACGCTGGTGGCATGCAAAATCCCACAAAGATTTTCGCCCCATTTTGCCCCGCCTGCGAAAGCTCAGGGCAAACGCCATGAAAAATTTCACTTCAGCTCTACCCCCGAGCAGAGACAAACAATAGCCGAAAAAACTGCTGGCTCGGGGGGGCACAGGAGTGTTTCAACAATGGAAACAAGTTAACTAAGACAGGGAAGCCAGAGCGAAACAAAGGACGCATGGTGGGAAGAAGGGGAGGAGGAGGAGCTGCTGGCACGATAAATTCATATAAATCGCGTTAATTTCAACCGCAAAGCACAGTTTAAATAACTCAAATGGCTCGGAAAGCTGCCACCACTGCCTGACACCGTTGCTCTGCCCTCTTCCCGACTGGACCTGCATCTAAGCTTGATAAAATGGTTCTT